AAAACGTGGTTTCCCCTTTTTTTCTCCTAAATGATGAATCATAGTAAATGTAATTGTTAAAATCTGTTTTAGGAGTGCAAGTCTAGCAAGTACAAATTTCAGGCCACAAACAGAATACAAAAACAAATTTCAAAAAGCCACTCATTTTGCATAACTATTTTTATTTTGAACCCTTATTCTGCCTGTTGGTGAAGATTAAATCAGTTAATTCAGTGATTTCAGGGTTCGTTCACTATGCAAGAGTTTGAAGTCTATTTGCTGTCCATTGCCCACTGAAATCATGATTTGAACATTTGAGTGCTGAGAATACACTACAATGACAAAGGTGATAAGCAAGTGACCCAGTACACAGTCCTTTATGTGATGATGGTAATACTGTAGAGTAGTAATTAATGTTATTTTACGAGACATTCCTATCCAAACCTTTCTGCTCCCTCAGTCCCAGCCCCTCAAAACTGCCCACACTCACTGCTTTCTGATGGATGTTGCCCATGGGGAACTCCTCATTTATTCACTTATTTATTAGTGCGTTTGAAAATAGGTGGTAATGTTTTTATAAAGATTAGTGTGATCCGTTTTGGAATACATTTAAAACACTGTACTGAGACTGGAGACTAGGAAAATAGAGGGAGGTTGTGTTAACTCTCCCTCAGACTAAGATCGATTTTTTTAAGTCCAGTTTTCATATTCAAAGAGCAGCTTCTAGGGGGCCAGCCTGGTGGCGCAGCGGTTAAGTTTGCACGTTCTGCTTCTCGGCGGCCCGGGGTTCGCTGGTTCGGATCCCGGGTGTGGACATGGCACTGCTTGGCAGCCATGCTGTGGTAGGCGTCCCACGTATAAACTAGAGGAAGATGGGCACGGATGTTAGCTCAGAGCCAGGCTTCCTCAGCAAAAAGAGGAGGACTGGCAGTAGTTAGCTGAGGGCTAATCTTCCTCCAAAAAAAAAAAAAAAAAAAAAAGAGCAGCTTCTAGAGTAAATGTATGAGCCAAATAAATGCATAACAGGGGAAAAAACATAGTCAGTTTTAGATGGAGAAGCAACTGAGTTTTTCTCTTTCTATGGGGATGTTTAGTCTCATGAAGATTAATCTAGAATAAGAAACCTGAGGAAAACTCCTCCTCTGAAAGGAGATTCTTCGGATTCCCCTTTGATTCTTATTAAAAAAATTCTGGTATGATTTAGTTACTGGTGAAGATGGAGGAAATTAAAGCCTGTCAATTATATTTACCATAGTTAACAACTGTAAAGGAGAATCTATGTGAGATACTTATGGAAGCTGGTAGTATTGTTTTACTTTCATAATATCTTTAATAATAAAAGTAATAAACCATTCCATTTAAGCTACCGTTAGAGTGATAAATATCATATTTTTCAAGTAATTAAATTAAGACTCAGTGGGATCCTGTTGGCTAGTAATGTACATGGCATCTGGAGTGAACTCCACTAATTGATATGCTTGATAGCTTTGTTCCCAACCCAGTAGGACGTGGGGTCTGTATTCACTGACACCTGCTAAATCATAGGCCCTGCTACTTTAGCAGCACTAAAAAATGAAGACCTTGAACGAGCCATCCTGGCCACTGTGACATGCATGGTTGGTGGCATGTCCCTTCACATGCTGGAGCAGCTTATACAGGATAGATTTTCTTTTCTGTGAAGAGATAGTACAATAGTTTTGCAAAATGTACTTATTATCTCTGGAAAATTGCTCTAAGATGTAATCTGGCTGCTGTGGGAGGATTTATAGTCTTTATGTACTTTTGTCTTTATTGCAAAAGTGCTGGATATTTTGGCCTCAATTGAGAAGTATTGTGGTAATTAGTACTGAGGCATCTTGGGAAAGTAGCCCGGACCCATCTCATTGTAAATCCCTCCGAGGTACCAGCCTGAATGCTTTCATCCACTTACACTTCATCCTCTATAACTCATGCCTCTGAGGAGACTCTTGAGGATCCTTGTCAAAGGACCAGTAGTTCATTTAGTTTCATCATAATGACAGCATCCAGAGAGAAATGGCTGCACAATGCATGTAGGGAGATGCACTCACAGTCCACCTAAGACTCCCATGCTCACAGTGAGGTATGAAGGCAGCAAAGAGCTGACAGATTTCAAGGGACCACTGTGAGCTTGGACTATGAGGAAGGCAGTGGCCATGATGAGGGTCAGAGACTAGAGATCCTGCTCTTGCTTTCAGGACAGAAAATAAGCCTCCTGAATACTAGTGTGACACTGTAAGGGAGAGAGGACGCTGGTAATGATCGGGATGACATTTCTGATAGCCTAATAGCTAGGGAGTTCAGAACTAAGATTAAAGTAATTTGGAGAAAATAAAATGTTTGTGATTGTGAACAAGAGATTAATACTTGTTAAAATTGCTTACTGATTGATGATAGAACTTTATCGTGATGATCCCTGTGACTGCCAATTAGCAGGTATTTCTATTCATTCATTCATTCATGTATTAATTCTTACTAAGCTTCTATTAGGTCACAAATCATGTGATAGGAGCAAGGACTATAACAGTGAACAGCAGAGGATTCCTGTCCTTCTGAGGCTTATTCTGAGTAGAGACTAGAGATATTACAACAAAGAAATAATTATAAGTGTAAGGGGTTTAAAATTTACAGTCACAACTCAAGAATTCATAAATGTAATTTTACTTTTTCGTAACTGAACTCAATTTTGCTCCTCAGTCTTCATTTCTGCGTATAGTGGGATATTTGCAATCTTGCCACTTGCAGGTAACTCAGTCACTACCAGTATAAGACGCAGAGTATTTAGGATAAATATTTAGCTAATTTACAGATTTATCCTCGGTTCAAAATTTACGTTCATATCAGGACTGTTTTCCCCTTTCAAGAACTTTGCCTCTTAATACACTGAAAGAAACTTTGACTATCAGACTACGGACATGGGTGCTCATCTGGGCTCTGCCATTAATTGAGGAGTCTACTTAAATTCCATGGGCCTCAGATACCTTATCTCTAACAGAGAATACTTATCAGCACATTTTGAAAGGTCTATTCTTATTCTAAAAAAGGTTATTAAAATCAGTATTTCAAATATGTCTAGGAAATAAAGTAGTGGAATGATAAAATGAGGGAGTAATTGTAATAGCTTTACACAAGTATACGTATTTGGTGTCCATTTTTATGACACGAGTTTTAAAATTTGCTTAATTTTCAGCACCTAGCTTTTAGAACTGAATGTTATTCTTTAGAATGCTCTGTGAGATCTTTGGGGAAAATCTAAAACAACTAGAAAGTGTCTCTCTTGGCAAGGCCTTTAAATCAAAACTAGATGCATTATGACTTCTGTGAGATATCTACAGAGGCCTAATCTTTTCTGACTGGTTTCCTGGCATTATCCTCTCAGTACCATTTTTATTTGGAGGTTTTATTGAGTATTCTTTCTTTGTAGAGCTTACAGGCCTTTTTATGACTCCATCCTTCTTTAAGATGGCAAATTGCCTTCATTTGACGAGGGAGAAGGAAATATCAAGTGAAAAAATTAAGCTGAAAGTGTTGAGTATCTCAATACAGTCATGCGTCACTTAACGACCAGGGTACATTCTAAGAAATGTGTCGTTAGATGATTCCGTCATTGTGTGAACATCCTGGAGTGAACTTTCACAAACCTAGATGGTAGAGCCTACTACACAACTAGGCTATATGGTGTAGCCTATTGCTCCCAGGCTACAAACCTGTACAGCACGTTACTGTACTGAATATTGTAGGCAGTTATAACACAATGATAAGTATTTGAGGATCTAAACTTAGAAAAGGTGCAGCAAAAATATAGTATAAAAGTTAAAAAATGGTACACACGTATAGGACATTTACCATGAGTGGAACTTGCAGGACTGGCAGTTGCTCTGGGTGAGTCAGTGAGTGAGTGGGGAGTGAATGAGAAGGCCTGGAACATTACTGTGCACAACTCTGGGCTTTATAAACACTGTCCACTGAGGCTACACTAGCTTTGTAAAAAATATTTCTCTTTCTTCAATAATAAATTAGCCTTAGCTTACTATAACTGTTTTACTTTATAAACTTTTAAATTGTTTAAAACTTTTTGACTCTTTTGTAACAATGCTTAGCTTAAAACACTTTTTACAGCTGTACAAAAATAATTTTTCCTTATCTTTTAATTTTATATGTTTTTTTCTATTTTTAAAATTTTTAAAACATTTTTGTTGAAAACTAAGACACACACACATTAGCTTAGGCCTAGGCAGGGTCAGGATCATCAATATCACTGTCTTCCACCTCCACATCTTGTCCCACTGGAAGGTCTTCAGGGACAATAGCATGCATGGAGCTGTCGCCTCCTATGATAACAGTGCCTTCTTCTGGAACACCTCCTGAAGGACCTGCCTGAGGCTCTTCTTGAGGAGGTTTCACTCTTTTTAGAAATATGCCCATGGTGATTTGCTTTGTTTGTTTCTTTTTTTCATCATAGATTTGTTTGTAAGCGGATAATGCACCATGAAAATTCCTCTCTATTAATGAAAACCTTTTGGTGTTTGAGTCTATGTTTTCAAATTTTTTAAGGAGCTTGTTGAAGTCTGCAGAAGCTTTTCTGCTCAACTCTTGACTGTGAATGTTTTTGGGGGTTCTTCTTCTTTTTCTTCTGCAGTTTCCTTTTCTCTTGTCTCTTCTTCAGCTAAGTGTTCCTGTTCCAGTGCCATCAACTCCTCATCAGCCAGTTCCTCAGGAACCACCTCTAGAAGCTCCTCAATGTCGTCCTCATCCACACCCTTGTTAAAGGTGTCTGCCATCGCAACAACAACTTTGTTGAGTTTTGCAACCTCCTCATCCTTGGCAAATCCTTTGAAGTCATGAGTGAACCTCTTGAGTGTCTTCTCCCAGATGCCATCCATACCCTCCTTGGTGACATCGCCTCAAGCCCAAGCAAGGTTCTTGATGCAGTCATAGATGTCATAATCCTTTCAGAATTACATCAGTGTCTTCCTTCGTTGTAGCAATAGCCTAGGCATAGGTCCTCCTCTGGTAGTAGGTATTAAAAACTGCTATCACTCCTTGATCCATTGGTTGGATCAAAGAGGTGGTGTTTGGAGGGAGAAACACTGCTTTGATATTGGGATGAAGACCGCCAATAAAAGGAGGATGTCCAGGAGCTTTATCAACAGTAAGCAAAATCTTGACAGGTATGTTGTTCTCCAAACAGTGTTTCTCCATTTCACTGGCATAGCAATTCAGATGGCATCTTGGAAGAGGAGCTGGGTCATCCATAGCTTCTTATTGCTTCTGTAGTACACTGGTAGTGTGTGTTTATTGATATGATTGAAGTCCCTGGAGTTCTCACCGTGCCAGATCACAAAGGGTTTCAATTTGTATCCTGCAATCTTGCCCCTAAGCAAGACTGTTAACCTGTTCTTAAATTTTTTTTTTAAAGATTTTATTTTTTCCTTTTTCTCTCAAAGCCCCCTGGTACATAGTTGTGTATTTTTAGTTGTGGGTCCTTCTAGTTGTGGCATGTGGGATGCCACCTCAGCATGGCTTGATGAGCAGTGCCATGTCCCTACCTACGATCTGAACCAGTGAAACCCTGGGCTGTGGAAGTGGAGTGCGCGAACTTAATCACTCCACCGTGGGGCCGGCCCCTACCCTGTTCTTAAGAGCCTTGAAACCTGGCATTGACTTGATTTCCATATGGATGAAAGTCTTTTCAGGCATCCATTTCCAGGATGGGGAGATTTCACCCATACTGAATATTTGCTCTGGCAAGTAATTTTCTTCCACAGCCAGCTTACTAAAGTTTCCAAAAATTCTTCAGCTACCTTCACACAAGCACTCACAGACTCACCACTCACTTTTATAATAGTAATGAATAATGATTCTTGAATTGTTTAAACTCCCCAGAGCTAGCAGGAAATTCAAGATCATGGTCAGGTCCAGCCTTTTCTTTCAACATCATACACTTTTTGCTTTGGCTGTGATTGTCGTAGTGCTGAGAGGGATACACTTTTGTCTGTTCAACAATGCAGGTCATTAGAAGTTTCTCCATGTCTGAGATAGGCTGTTCTCGAATTTTTGTTAGTCTTGTTGCCTTCAATGAAGCAGATCCTTTAACAGCTTCTGTCACTTTGTGCTTGTTCTTCAAGATCATAGCTATGGCAGAAGGGGACATGCCTGACTGGTGCAATAATCACCATTGATTTTTCACCTTAATAATCCTTAATCACTTTTAATTTTGTTTCTAGACGTGGCCTCTTACTGGCAACATTAGCAGTGAATTTTGTATGCTTAGGGATCATGATGAACAAAACAACATGAAATTAAATCAAGCAGAGAGAATGATGCAATCAAGAGATGCAGTAAATGAGAAGTATGAGGCTGCTGCTGGTGCATCATGACATACTCTTTCATAGTAAACATAAGTAGAAAGAGTACACACTAAAGTAATAATAAAAAGTATAACATAGTAAATACATAAACAAGTAACATAGTTGTTTATTATCATCATCAAGTATTACTTACTGTACATAATTGTATGTGCTATACTTTTATATGACTGGCAGTGTAGTACATTTGTTTACACCAGTATCACCACAAACACGTGAGTAATGCATTGTGTTATGACATTGTGATGGCTACGACATCATTAGGTGACAGGAATTTTTCAGCTCCATTATAGTCTTATGGGGCCACTGTCATATATGCAATCTATCACAAACCCAAACGTTATGCAGTGCATGACTGTAGTTTTTTTCTTTTCCAGAAAATAACCAAAAGGGAAGTTAGTGGTAAGATATTCTATTTTTACACAGACAGGGGCCTTCAACAGTTAAGATTGTCTTTTTATCCTAGGTGATAACACTGCTCAATGAGGGAAATGCAACAAATTCAGGTCATGGGATGTTTTTTTAATTATAAAATAAACATTATAAAACAAGTGAAAATACATCAAAATATAGAGAATAAATATGGCACAGTATCACACAACCCCAAAATAATCATTGATAGCATGTTAATATGTTTGGAAAAATTCATAATATTTATAGATCCTAAGGTTACAAAATGAATAAAATGTGGTCCATGCTTTCAGATGTTTGTAGTCTAGTGGAGAAGATATATACATGATAAAAATCAGTGCAGTAATTTCATTAGAGAAGAAGTGCATCAAGTATTATAGAAGGAATCAGTCTGGTTGTGGTAGAGTTAGATGGCAGAGAATACTTCTTAGAAGTGATGCAGGAGTGAACCTTAAATGATGAGTCCTGAATGACTAATTTTGAATTTGTCGGGAGGTTGAGGGCTGGGAGATGATGGGCTGGACTCTAGAGCCTGATATGGACAAGATTTTTTTCTTGTTTCCTTTTTTCCTTCTTCCTCTCCTTGGTGTGAGTCTTACACCCAAGATTCTTCCAGGTGGGGGCCATGTTACCAAGTCTCTGGGTGGCCCTCCCCTCGTGACTCCAGGCACTTCCCCTCCATGGCTCTGGGAGGCTGCTATCTGGCCTGTTGAAACTGAGGTGATGCCTCCCACCCCCACCCTTTGATACCTAGGAAGCAGCCCTGATGATCTCTGAATTGCCTTCAGGGTCCTTCTTCCCTGTGGTGTTGAAGAATACACACATTAGCAGCTAAATAGCTCTATGATCTGGGACTGTAGGATCTGAGAAGTCTGACAGCCTCCTTTCATTTCATCCTGTCTATGTGGCCTTCAGTTCCTACTGGCAGTGTTTCTGCTGGGGTACCTGATTAGGTTGGTGGCTCATACCCATGCTAATCTCCTTATTAAATGGCTGTTTGGCCACAGTCTTAGTGTTCTCTTTTGAACTTATTTTCTCATTTTTCACAATATGGGCAGGCTGAGTATATTCCAGATCTTTAAGTTCTGATTCCTTTTTGCTTAACAATTTCTTCTTCGATTCATTTTCCTCTTCTCACATTTTACTATAAGCAGACAGGAGGAACCAAACTACTCCTTCAACACTTTACTTGGAAATCTCCTCAGCTAAATATCCAATTTCATCACTTGCAAGTTCCACCTTGCACACAACAGTAGAACATGAACAAAATTCAGCCAAGTTCTTTGCCACTTTACAACAAGGATCATCTTTCCTCCAGTTTCCAATAACATGTTCCTCATTTCCATTTGAGACTTCATCAGAATGGCTTTTGTTGTTATCTTTTTTTTTTTTTTTTTTGCTTAGGAAGATTCATCCTGAGATAACGTCTGTGCCAGTCTTCCTCTATTTTGTATGTGGGTCGCTGCCACAGCATGTCTACCAAGTGCACTGAACTTAACCACTAGGCCATGGGGCTGGCCCCTCAGAATGGCTTTTAATGCCTGTATTTCTACCAACGTTCTGTTCATGACTATTTATGTATTCTTTAAGAAGATGAATGCTTTTTCTACAGCTCTCCTCTTTTTTTTTTTTTGAGTCCTTAGCAGAACCACCTTTAAAAGTCACTTCATGGCAAACTTGGCTTTTTCTAGAATGCATCTCAAAACTCTTTTAACCTCTACCAATTACCCAGTTCCAAAGCTGCTTCTACATTTTTAGGTATTTGTTATAGCAGCATCTCCACTCTTGGTACCAATTTTTTGTATTAGTCAACTTAGAATGGTGTAACAAAATATCATAGACTGGATCGCTTCAACAGCAGACATTTATTTCTCATAGTTGTGAAGGCTGGAAGGTCCATGATCAAAGTGCTTGCAGATTCTATTCCTGGTGAGGGCCCACTTCCTGGCTTGCAGATGGCCATTTTCTTGCTGTGTTGCTCATATGCAGAGAGAATCAGAGCTCTGATTTCTCTTCCTCTCCTTATAAGGACAGTAATCTCATTATGGGTCCCCTACCCACATGATCTCCTCTAAAAGTAATTACATCTCAAGTGTTCTACCTTCGAATACCATCACACTGGGGGTTAGGGCTTCAGCATGTACATTTTGGAGGAATGTCACCATTCAGTCCATTATAGATGGCTCTCCTGGGAGATAACTTTAGAGGTAGTGAGAAAGAAGGGCTCAGATCTTATCTTCTAAGTGCTATTCTCCACAGAAAAAAAACGGGGCTCTTTGAGGAAATGGCTGATTCCAAGTTTGGGACAGAAAAAGGACAAAATGTGTCCAGATCATCTTGTGCCAGAAAGGAAGGACGTACTTAAAGAATGAAGTGTACATGTCGAAGAGACAATTATATGCAACATCAGATTCAGAATTAGTTCTGTTTGCTATGAGGGACATTATTTGGACAATTGGCAAAATTTGAATAGTAATGCCTCAATGTTGATTTCCTAATTTTGATAATTGTAATGTGCTTATGTAAAAGTTCTGTTTGTATAAAATATATGCTATATGTATAAAATATACACAAGTTTTTTTTTGTGGGAGATGGGGCGTTAAGCCTACAAAATAATCTCAAATAGTTCAGGAAAAAAAGAATTTTGTACTAGAAATTTTCCTATAGGTCTGTGATTGTTTCAAATAAAATATATTTTAAAAAGAATTTAGTCAATATGTAGAGAGAAGCAGAAAAGAGACGGAGAGAGTCTTAGCAGCATGCAAGTCGGGGTCTCCGTGAAGTTATGAGATCAGGGACTTACTGTAAGAACTGAAACTCACACATTCGTAGGAGAAGCCTCGAAAGTGTGGAAGCAATTGAAGGATCAGAGAAGAGGTTCCTAATCAGCCTCCTGACACAGGTTCTAATCAGTGCACCAAGGCAAGAAAAGGAAATAAAAGGCAAATAGATTGGAAAAGAAGAAATAAAATTGTTCCTGCTTGCAGATGACATAATAGTTTTTGTAGAAGATCCCCCAAAATCTACAAACAATATCCTAGAGCTAATAAGTGAGTTCAGCAAGGTAGCAGGATACAAGATAAACATATATAAAAATTAATTACATTCTATATACCAAAAATGAGCATATGGACACCAAAATTAAAACTACAATCCCATTTACAATCACTCAAAAAAATTAAATACTTTGGGGAAAATATAACAAAGAATGTAGAGGAATTGTATATTAAAACTACACAATGCTGATGAAAGAAATCAAGCAAGATCTAAATTAATGGAGAGACACACCATGTTCATGGATTAGAAGACTCAAAATAGTAAAGATATCAATTCCTCCTAAAAAGATACATAGGTTTAACACATTTCCTATCAAAACCCCAGCAAGATTTTTT